TCTGCATTTGTCTTCTGAGACACATAACACATATGCTTCAGATTTGTCAAATATGATTTTTTCTTTAAAAGCACCCACCCTAATATACCCAGATACAAACCTGTAGACTCCACTCCTGAACACTTGCATGGCCGGTTCCTCCCAAGCCTTGAAAGATCAAAGGGGAAAATGCTAAAGTACTTGAGACACTTCACAAACAAGGACCAAAGTGCTCTACAAACATGATCTGTCTTGTTCATTTACTTTCTATTGCTCTCTCTCGTTGTTAGAATGAGATCCTCCTCAGTCCTGTGAACATCTTCCTTTCATAGTCCTCTTCATAACATATTTCATAAGGGGAGGCACTTCAGTGAACAGAAAGCAATATATTAAACTCCTGCTTTAAATCAAGCTGTTAACAGCTTTGTAGGTGGGACAAATATATCAGAAATTCTGCACAATGATCTCTCAGGTACACATCGCTAGCACCGGTTTGGACCCCCTTTTGTCTTCAGAACTGCTTTAATTATTCATGACACAGATTCAACAAGTTGCAGAAGATTTTCCACAGAGATTTTGGTCCATATTGACATGATAGCATCACGCAGTTGCTGCAGATTTGTCAGCTGCACATCCATGATGTAAATCTCCTGTTCCACCACATCCCGAAGTTGATATTGGATTGAGATCGGGTGAATGTGGAAGCCATTTTAGTATAGTGAACTCATTGTCATGTTCAAGAAACCAGTTTGAGATGATTTGAGCTTTGTGACATGGCACGTTATTCTGCTTTGAGTAGACATCAGAAGATGGTACAGTGTGGTCACAAAGAGATGGACATGTTCATCAGCAACAGTACTCCGGTAGGCTGTGGTACCGTGTTTAGATGATGCTCAATTAAGGGATCCAAAGTGTGTCAAGAAAATGTCCCCCACACCATCGCACCACCAGCAGTCTGGACCGTTGATACAAAGCAGGGTGGATGGTTTCATGTTGTTGCACCAAATTTTGACAATCAAAATCTGAATATCACAGCAGAAATCGAGACGCATCAGACTAGGCAACGTTTTTTTCAATCCAGTATTATCCAATCTTTGATGAGCCAGTGCAAACATAGTCTCAGTTTTCTGTTCCTATAGGAGGATCTTTGTTGCCATCTTTGTACACATGTGCGAGTGGTTGTGTGGCAACAAAACAAACAGAGAGTTTCAAGAGAGTTAGCAGGCAAAATCCACAATATCGCACTTTAACATCTGAAGACCAGAGGATGTTTGTAGAGAAGCTCAAAATTTGTATTGGTTATTAGTTATTCAAAGCCCATATGTGATTTGGGATGTCAAAAACGTTGGTGCGACTCGCCCGTGTCTTGGCCACCAATCTGCTGGGAGACATTTATTCTTTTTTAATAGAACCCCCTGGACCCTTCACTCATGAAAGATTAAAGGCTTTCAAAAGTCTGGAGGCCAATGATTATTTTGTTTCTCGAAAGGTTGGGCCGATCTTTTCTGCCAAACAGAAAGCAGTGATAGTACTAAAAGCATCATGACATCATGACTTTTGCGTAAACATACACGCCACTTTCGAATCAAGTGGCATGTTATCTATATGCATTTTGAGCTATCCGCTTGTATGCGTGTATGTCTACGCCATTAAATGTGCGAGCGAAACGAAGCAAAATGTAGATCTACATCTGGGGAGCGATATTTTTTTTCCTAGGATGGTAAGGGAAGACTCATAAATGCTGTTAACCCCAGTGACGGGTAGGTTTAGGGACGGGGTTGGGGTAGGTCATATATTTATATATATACAGTAATGTACCATTAAGTCAACGGTGTTCATGAACACGCTGAAAAGCGATTATGCGTGTTGATAGCACGCCAAAAATGGAAATACGAATTGCCGTGTCATACATACGCCATTACATGAGATCCGTCAAAAGCAGAGGTTAGACCTGGCCAAGCAGAGTCACAGCATGATTCGCATCTCCTCCGGGGTGACCGCAGAACGGCAAAATAATCACTGCTCACTGCGACTGCAAAGCCGGGTAAGTCTTCATTGTTCAGTGTTCTTATTTATTTATTTATTGAAAATGAAATGAAAAACTTTTTATCAGGCCCCCAACGAGCCATACAATTGACCACACAGCAAGAGTGAACCATCCTCTTCTCTAAATCCTCCTCCAAACATGCAAAACAATCAAATTACAGGTATTTAGCGGTGTTTCCTGCCACACGATTCCCATGATGCAACGCGATATACATAAACAATGATGTCAAAAAAGATCCGCCGATAGCTGACAGGAGTGGCACCCGGTGTGGTCTTCTAAGGCAGTGTAAAATGTCTCAAAACAGCTTAGTCATGAGTGTTTTTGACACATTTAGTATATTATACAGACATTTGCAGCAATTCACTGATACTTTGGCCTGGTTTCACAAACAGGGCTGAGATTAAGCCAGGATTAGGCCTTAGTTAAATTAGAACATTTAATTAGCTTTTATAAACATGCCTTAGAAATGACTTGAGACAATACAATGACTCTGACATATTTTAAGATATGTCAGTGCAAGTTGCTTTCAGTTAAAACAGCTCTAAAATGCATTTTAGTCTGAGATAGCCTTGTCTGTGAAACTGGGTGATGGTGTATTAGCTAAGGCCAACATTTTAGAGATTCCAACAATCAATCTGGATTCCCAATACCATCAGTGGTAGACTCATTGAAGGGGTGCAGTGGGGCAAACAAGTCTGACTCCAGAGTTTACTGGGGAACAGCATAAAGACCTCTGGCTTCTTGTCTCCTGCACGACACCACAAGAGCCTGAATGATCAACTTTTACTGCACTAAAAGTGTTCAAAATGGTGTTTAAACATGAGCTCTTTACTTATGGTTATGCAACATTCAGTCTGGCCTATTTTTTATCGGTGTTATACAACATGGCAGTGACACCACCCATAATTTATCACCGTGTTTTGTTATAAAATAGCATATTTAAGCGATTAGTTCACCCAAAAATGTAAATTCATTATTTATTAGCCTTCATTACTCCTTTTTACCTCTGTCAAATGCAAAAAAAAAAATATATATATATGTTACAGTTTTTCTCAGTCACTTTGGTACATTTCTTGAATCATACTTAACATTTGCAAACCAGTAAGTGGGAACACGGAACTATTTGCCCCCTTTTATTAAATACTTTTTGAAACCTCCTTGTTCCAAGATAACAGCGGAGTCGTCTCCTATAATGTCTGGTGAGAACACCTGACAAGAGATCAGAGACCATTCCCTTCAGATTCCCAGATCCATGTGGGCACTTCTCTTCAGTTCAGCCCACTCATTTTCTATGGTTCAGGTCAGGGACTGGATGGCCAATGCAGAGTGACCCATTTCTGTTTTGATTTTGATGTTTGTTTGTGGATCACTGTCCTGTTGGAAGATCCAAACATGGCCCGTTAAGATTTTTAGCACAGGCTGTCAGGTTTAGATTTTTTTTTAATCTGTTGGTATTTGATTGAATCCATGATCCAATGTATCTGAACAAGATGTCCAGGACTTCTGGTAGAAAATTAAGCCCACAGCATTAATGATACAGCAGAGTATTTCATTTTACACATGCGGTACTTTCTATCCCAGTATGAACCAAACCCATCTTCAGTGTTTGCTGCCAAAAAAGCTTTTTTTTTTTTGTTTCATCTGTCCACAGAACCCATCCTGTTTGAAGTTCCAGTATAGTGTCAGTTACTTTTCAAACGTTCTAGACAGATTAAACAAAAAAAAGAGCTTTGTGGCCGGAAACACGTTTGTCACAGTCCTCATCTGCACCATCCTGTCTTTGTCTTCACTACACTTCCCAGAATCCCTCGTGTCTCCACACCTGAACTCACTCTCTCATTACCCACCTGTTCATCGTCATCATCTGTGTCACCTGTCCTCACCTCGTTAGTGTTCATTTGTATCTGTGACCGTAAACGGTATTTTGTGTGAGGGAGGATTATTTTATTTTTTTTATTAGGCTAATGCAAGAAAATACAATACAATAAGGCAAAAATCACATAAATTCCTAAAGAACAGAGCACAACTCTGTAGAAATTAAACCAAAAATTATAAGAAAGAGAGAAAGAAATGAATTGCACGTCTAGGTCTTCTAATAGTTTCTTCAATAAACCATAGGCCTAGTCTTCTTCCACTTTTCGATTTTAACATTCTTAATGATTTACAGTAAATCCAAAATTCTTTGTTGAAAAACAGAAACTAATATTTTAAGGCACTTACATTTATGAATATACAATTTCCCAAAAATGAAAATATTATTTAGTATGTGTACATCTTCCATTATTATACCAAAGGTTATGTAATTTTTCGAAAATGAACAAATCAAATTATGTATAATTTTAAGCCACTTGTGCAATCAAAAAGGTTCTACAAATTATACAGTCATAAAACAAACGTACTCTTGCTCAAATTTAGAATCACAGAAAGTGCAGTTATTGTGATCAGCGTTAGATCTAGGCCTATCAAGTTGGATGGGTAGATATCGTTAAAAGTTCCTTAGCTTTGAGAGGTATAGGAAAGGAATAGGCTACTTCTTAATTTATTAATATAACTCTTGGGAACATTTTTGAGTCCAATTATTTCTACTAGCTTGATTTGAAATTTATGTTGGTAAAAATCTTATTTATTTGTTAGGAAACCTCATGACAAAACCCAGTCCATTTATTTTTAAAGATGAATAGCTTCAGTTACATTTGGCACTGCACAGAGCAAAGGCCTTTGGAATACAGTTCCAAAACCAAAAGCTTAAAGTTTATAATCGCATTGAAAATTATACTTTTCACAGAAAGTTCTGTGATTCATAAAATTACCTTCCTCGTCTAGTAAACGAACAAAAGACCAGATACGATTTTACTTATTATAAAGAGTGACTTGTTCCCATGTTTCTTCCTAAACAAAGTAGGCCTATTCCAAATGGGCGAGGGGTGATAGGGAGGATCTAGCAGCGTGTTGTTTGGCTTTGCTGCTACGGCAACCGACAGAGCGCTCTGGACTGGAGAACGCTATCACTTTCCAAGACAAAGTTGATAACATGCCGATAAATATGTTTGAATTCGCGTTTAACTCGTTGGAAAAAACTTTGACATTAACAAATTAAATGCTTTGAATAAATTAATTTCTTAATCATAATGCGAAAGGCTCAGTCTGGAGGGTCGAGTGCCGTCGATGATGCAGTGGTGCTGCAGCTCCGCGCGCTCTGGACAAGATATGAGCATCACTGCATGGAGAATGCCAGCTGTCCCAGTGCAGTACTCAAACAGGACATCATTCACCACATCGACAAACAGCAACATCTCAAAAAGGTAGGGAGGGAAACCTTAATAAACGTTGAAAATCTTGATTTTTAATAATGAAAGTGAGGCTGTGAGGGATAGACATCTAACGTATAACGTTAGGCCTAACGTAACATCTTTATTTTATAATGTTGGTATTGTTCTGCTGTCGCTGACGAAACACTGCAAAAATATATATTTCCAATAAATTTTAGTGACCAAAAACATCTGACAACATAAGTTGTGGAAAATTATAAGTGAATTAGGAGGTTTGATTGATAAGGCTAGACAGTCAGTGAGGGTCAGTGTGGTCAGGAAATCTCAGGATGCAGGGACAAACAAGACTCACAATGAACAAGATAAACAGTTAGTAATTAAATATAATATATAAAAATAACGACTGAGACAGAACAATGAGACGCAAAATAAAAGAAAACGAAGTTTTTGAAATGACTGAACTTGCAATCAAAAATGAAAAAACAAGAAACTTACAGGGAACTAGAAACTAGATACAATGATAATCTAGAGTCGAAATCAAAAGAGAAAATCTAACTCGAACAAGACTTTAGTGATCGAGTAGCCTACGCTGCGCAATTTCTCATGAAGCTCCGTGCGGCGGAGCGCGTATTGTTTTCAGAGAAATACGTGATCAACGAAAAACGAAGCCTCACATTATTTCCAGTCACGTGAATGCTTCACTTTGGGTTTTGGAAGTTTAAGTCCATTTACTAACATTTTTTTTAAATATAAATAAGCAATATGCTACATGATCATATTGTATGACATAGAAACAGGGCCGTGCAGAGACCTCTGTAGGGGCAGGTGCTCAAAGTATAAAATGGGGCACATGGAAACAAGGCTTTATAGGGCTGTGCTCAAAATATCAATACAGTAATATATCAATACAGATGATTTTGCATCGATACAGCAGCAAATGCATTGATGCAGTTTTGAAAAAGAACCAGAACAGAAAAGACAAATTTAAAGTTTAAAATTAAAAAAAAAAAAATAATTGATGTGCTCTATATATAACTCTGGGATTAGAAACTGAAGCATCTTAAGTTGTTCCAACCTGATGGCTTTTTCTTCTCTGTTATACAGAATAATAAAGAACAGCTGTTATAGTGAACTGTGTAGGACAAAATCAACGTGGCCCATGTTTCGTGCAGTACAGTAGTTTTATTTAATGGCATATCAGCATCTGTGGCTATTTTCATGGCAAAAACTGATTTACAAAAATACAAGAGTTACATTTTATACAATGAAAATAAAAAACAAAGCAAACAGAAACAGCAATTAATACTTTACAAGATTTTTAACATTAATGTGATGCCTGTTCTCGTAAATTCTTACTTAAGTCCTTAAGTGAGTTTGCTGCCTTTGCTGTTGATGTTGTGTTACTGCTGCTGCTGCTGAGGATGATGATACTGCTGGAGTTGATCTGAGACTGTAGACATTAAAATAAACAGAAATATAGGGTATTAGCTGAATAAACCATTTTTATGTGACCATGTCAAGATGTAAAGATTGCTGACAGTGTTTGGAACTGGCTCACTAGTTCACTGACCTGCTAAAGCTACAGATTCTACCCAGGCTGCTAAAGTATATAATACAATAATAATAGTAACGTTACTAGGGCAGATGTTCACAGAGGCTTCTGCACACAAAACATAAGATACTAACTGGTAAGCCTATGTGATAACTTACCAGAGTTGTGATAATCATTTTTATGTGAAAATATTTTTTTTAATAAATACTGTAATAATAATAATAGTTTAAAGTAAAAATAATAGTTTTTAGTCAAATAACACCCCTCCACGCCCGTGAAACTTTTCTCCCTCAAACAGCAAGCTAACGTTACTTCTACAGCCTACACACAGCAATACAAACAACATCTCTCTGCATGCTCTCTTCACGTCGTTCTAGTAAAATAATAATAATAAGTAAACAAACATCAAAATCACTTCGCTGAGAATAGAACACCACTTACCAGCAGCCGCAAGAGTTGAAGATATCCGCTGGGAATGCGCGATTGCGCGTAGCCGCGCGAAATTATAAAATGCGCGTGCAGCGTGAGGAATCAGGTGAAAGGTCATCATGTGGGTCATTTTATTTACGGCTAAATTATTATTCATTCATTTTACTACTAGTTAGATGGGGCAGGCATCTACAAAAGTGCCTTTAAATACAAAAAAAGGAGAGGAAATTTTGTCTTGACAAAAGGGCACTTTGGGCACCAAGGGGCAAAAGGGCAGGTGCTCGAGCACCCAACGCCCCCCCCCTCTGCACGTGCCTGCATAGAAACCATAGACATGCATCAAGACAAGCAACTCTGTTGGTATTTTTATAATTAGTTTTAATATAATTGTTACATTTAATTTATTGACACACTTTAATGTGTTAATTATATGATCAGAAAACTGAACATTTAGCGTTGTCAGGGTTTAATTTGTGCTTAATGGAACAACGACTGCGCACTCAGCTGCTCATAAACATGGCTGCTATAAATTTGACCTGCCACAAGATGGCGCTGTTTTCGAGACTCCCCCAGTGCTTCACGAGGCTTCATTTCCCCATACCTAAACACTGGAAGGATAAAAGCAAAAGGATATACTAGAGCTAGAAACAATCAAATTGACGACAAGAACTAGGTTTAACCATACGCATAGGCCAAGACCCTGACAGTTTCACTTTACATAGATTTTTGTTCTTTACAATCATTAGAAATGTTTTTTTTTTGTATTACAATAATTCAGTTGGAATTCAGCTTAGGTGTATGTTACATAATAATAATAAAAGGCTACGGAGCCCCTAAAGGGAAATGGCGAGGGTAAAGACGATGTGTTCCCAGACTTCCTTTATATACATTTTTTATTAAAAAATGTCTACTGCATGCATCTCCTTCTCACTCACTGTTCCTGTCTGTTCCTCTTCCTTCCCTGTAGATAACGCTGTCCTTTCCAGATTGCAGGCCCTCAGATGCTATTCTGCCCAGCCTTCAGCCTCTGTTAATGGCTATACGAAATGAGCGTTACACACATGCACAAGAATTCCACATCTGGAGTCTGTCTCTGAAGCCAAAAGATATAGTTGAGCTGGTGAGCACTGATCCCACTTTACTATAGATCCTAGTTCCCTTTCAAGAGAACTCGTGTGATGCATCGATGAAGCACTTGTGTCAACTAGTCCAATGGCGAGAATGAGCGTCATGGGCAGGTGACGGCATGACCAGGAAAGGATAAAAGCAAATCCGGTTTAGAACGGCGCTATAGCTACTGTGCCTCAGCAAACGCTCTGTGTTACAAACTGTCTGTTTTATTTATTGTTGTCTGTCACGATATATATATACAGGTCAATCTAAGATATTATGGCGTCCAAACAGTCTTACAAGTTGTGAGCTTCTCCTTGCCCTTGTTACATCACAGGTGGAGAAGATACACACAAACTTTGTGTGATTGGGAGCGAAGCATGCTTTGTCACTCTTCGAGGAGGCTGATTGTGAGCATTGCGAGTGGCTGCCACTTCGCACGCTCCGCTCTCGCTTGTCACTCTTCAAGGAGAGAGTTCAAGTGAGCGTTCCCTGTGGCACGGGCCCCGCTTCTGCCGAGATAACACAGTCTCATCCCAAATCGTCATATAACTGACATTTTGGGACGTATTTTGACCATACGTCAATATCCGCCTTTTTAGGGCCCCCTTAAACGTCGGTAGATGGCGATCCCGGGCCGTCATACAACTGACGCTTTACCTTTAACGTCAGTTAGTTGACGGGTTAGGTTTAGGGTTAAGTTTAGGTATGGGGTAGAGTTAGGATCCCACACTGTAAAAAGTAATTGCTGATTCTACTTAAGAAAAACTAGTGAATTTAACTTACTTTAGAAACTTAGTTGATTTAACTTGATTACACTGTGTACTGTGAACTTTTAGGTGGATGCAATAGTCAAACTAAACAAATCTAGTACATTGTACTTAAGTTTGGTAAGTGTATTGTACTAAAGGCATTTTCACACTGTTGAAAATTTCTGGAGCACAGAATTTGGATAGTAATAATAATAATAATAGTTAAATTAACAACATTTTTAGTAAATACCATACAATTAGTTTGAAAATAGTTAATAGGTTAATATATAGTTAATAGGTTCTGAATCTTTTTTTCCTGCACGCTTAAAAAAATAACTGGGAAGATAAAAAGCAAGCCCATCGGCTGCTACTTCACAGTCCTTTATATTTTTAGAAACAAATCTTTATACATTTACTTTGGTTATTAAGTTTCAGCATAAGACGAAACAACTCGGTTATTTTTTTTTCAACTCGCGCATGCGCATTTGCGCAATTGGACGGTTGAACTTGAGGAAGACGTCAAGACGAGACGACATCGACGAGGGACTTCAGCTCGTGTTCGGGAATGGATGCGGCAGCAAAACTAGGTATGCTAGCCTCTTGAACAACTATTTATCAACTTTAATGTCATTGTATAGCTTAAAAACAGAATTTATTTTGCTCATTGTGCAGTAAGAGGAAAAGACACACTGAAGTAACGTTAGTTTTATGTCGAATGAGACCAGTTGAGACAAGCGGCATAAGTTACTAGATTAAAAAACGATTTTTACTGAACACGTGTTTTATATTAGTTACAGTTTGTATGCTGTGTTAATCGTTTAAGTTTGGGGTTTATCTAAAATGTAAAAACCCTGGCTGTGCGGCCTAGATAGCAGCTAACGTAACTTTCCTTCTTTCTAGAAAGTTCAATGCTCACGTGTCGTTCACATGAAAATTAATTACATGACGCATTAATTAAGAAGTGTAACTAACAAGCAGTTATTACCTTATTTTGTCTTTATTTTGTGACAGATTCGCTCAACGTTTCATCAATAAATTCAAGGCTAAATCTGGAGATACTATTGGCTCCAAACTTAAGATTCTGCAGCAGATTCAAAATGACGTAAGCTCATCGACATATCACAATTATGTCTCGATTGCAAAACATATGTTGCTTTTACTGTTGTTTTTTGCTCTGACGTTTTGCTAGTATCGAGTGCTATTCAATATACATTTTTATAACTTTGCAGAAATCTAATATCAATGCGGAACGAACAGCGTTCTTCATCATGGCCTACCACTACTTTTCGAGGAGGACCACAATGATTTTTACAAGACATCTTTTGTAAGTATTTTCATCTCTGATGTGATTCTTGTTTAACAGTCTAACTGTTCTTCAAACAGTTGATATCTGGCAAGAAGAAAGGCATGAAAAACTGTCAGGACAGTGAAACAAAGTAAGGGTTGGAGAAAAGAAAGTGAAAGATAAATTAAGAGTTTAGAAGAAAAAAGACAGTTAGAAGATACATTTTATATTAGTTTTAATTTATATAACCGGCCATCAGTTTTATTTGTCTTTTCATGCAGTGGTTTGATGAATGTTTTTCCCCCTGGATTCACTGCTGTGTCCTCTTTGAAAAGGCCTTTACATTTAGACACAAAGGGTTATTAATTTAGTTTCATATTTTAATGACTATGTGCTCTTAAAGGGATAGATCACCCAAAATGAAATGATGTTGTTATTTACTCACTCTTATGTTATTCCAAACCTCTTTGAGTTTCTTTCTTATATTGAACACAAAATAATATATTTTGAAGAAGTTCGGTAATCAAACAGTTGAGATTAGCCATTGACTTCCATAGTTTTTTTTCCCACTATGGAAGTCAATGGCTACTCTCAACAGTCTGGTTACCAACATTCATCAAAATATCTTCTTTTCAGTTCAGCAGATGAAAAAAAAAAAACTCATACAGGTTTATAACAACTTGAGGGTGAGTAAATTAAGACAAGATTTTAATTTTTGAGTGGACTATCCCTTTATAGTAACACTCCACCATTTTGTTCCATATTAAACTATGTTATTCCCTTAACAAAGACGAGTTGATGAATACCTCTCTATGAATACCTCTCTCGTCTCAGTGCCTGCACTCAATCGCTCTGGTGCATGGAGAAACATTGTTAGCACTTAGCTTAGCCCAGTTCATTCATTAGGATGCAAATTGAGATGAAGTTAGAAGTGACCAAACACCGCCATATTTTATTTTGTGTCAGCATACTTGGCCGTGTAACCACATTTGAATAGAGAAAATGTGGAGATGTTTGGTCGCTTCTCTGTTTAAATAAACTGGGCTAAGCTAAGTGTTAAAGTGTCTCCGCACGCCAAAGGCATTGAGTGCACGCACTGAGACGACAGAGGTATGTATCAACTCGTCTTAGTAAAGAGAGTAACATAGTTTAATATGAAAAAATAGTGGAGTGTTCCGTTAAAATATGTCTTGTTCTATGACCTAATTTTTGTTATATGCTATTCCCATTTTTAGGACTGTGATGACAATGAAGATATGTCCAACATTGAAATGAGTTCTGACAGTGATTTCCGAATCGTCTGCAACCGCTGCCATACCCTACTCCCTGCATCTTGATGCCACAACAACGGCAATCATTCTGGAAGGTACAGTGGTTGTGGATGATCTTGAAAATCTTCCACAAGCAATGAGCTGTCTTTAAAGGAACACTCCACCATTTTTTTTATATTAAACTATTTTATTCCCTTAACTAAGACAAGTTGTTACATACCTCTCTCGTTTCAGTGCGCCGTACACTTAATTTCTCTGACGTGCAGCGAAACTTTGATAGCCCTTAACTAGCCCTGTTCATTCATTAGGATCCAAGCAGTGAAGCTACCAAACACCTCCACATTTTCCCTATTTAAATACAGTTACACAAGTAGTTATACGACCAAGTATGGTGACAAAATAAAATGTGCCGCTTTTCTAAGCGTGTAAAGTGGAGAACTACAATGTATGGCGGAATAGCACTTGAGAGCGCTTCGACTTGGCACAGTAATATCATCACTACTGATGATGAGAGGATTTTTTAGGAGTGATGATATTACTGCGCCAAGTCGAAGTGCTCTCAAGTGCTATTCCGCCATACATAATAGTTATCCATTTTACACTGGTGTAATCATACACCATTCTCGGTCATGTAACTACTTACCAACGTGTAACTGTATTTAAATAGGGAAAACGTGGAGGTGTTTGGTCGCTTCTAACTTCATCTCTTTTTGGATCCTAATGAATAAACTGTGCTAAGCTAAGTGCTATCAATGTGTCGCGTCGCGCTAAAGCGATTGAGTGCACGCACTGAGACGTGAGAGGTATGTATCAACTCGTCTTTGTGAGGAAATAACATAGTTTAAAGGGATAGTTCACTTTGAAATTAATTTTTGATATGTTTTATCTTACCTCAAGGGAATCCAAGATGTAGGTGTCTTTGTTTCCACAGTATTTTCAATTTTTACATTTTTCGGTCAAACCGTTCTTGTCTGTCAGTCATACAATGGATGTTTAGGGGGTCCACGTCAAAAAGCATGCACAGAGAAGTCAAAATTAAACATGATTTAATGACTTGTAAATGTAAGTACACATTGATGGCCTAAGACAAGAAACGAGTGGTTTGTGAGAAAACGAACAGTATTTATATCGTTTTTACCTCTTGTTAACAGCCATGTTCAACTGATCTGGATCAGATGTCCAACTGAACCGAACTGAACCATGTCCAACGTTCCGCTGGAAGTGATCTCGCGCGCGTCTAAGTCACTCATTGTTTACACGGAGATTTCGGAAGTTTTACCTTTCACTGTGAAGATCTAAACATATTTAGATATACAGGAAATCGCAATAAAAAATGATTTCGATATATCTAAATATGTTTAGTGAAAGGTAAATCTCTGTGTAAACAATGCGTGACGTAGACGCGCGAGATCACTTCTTGCAGAACGTTGGACATGGTTCAATACGGTTCAGTTGGACATCTGATCCAGATCAGCTGGACATGGCTGTTAACAAGAGGTAAAAACGATATAAATACTGTTCGTTTCCTCACACAAACCGCTCGTTTCGTGTCTTAGGCAATCAATGTGTTCTTACATTTACGAGTCATTAAATTAAATTTAATTTTGACTTCTCTGTGCATGCTCTTTGTGGTGGTGACCATAGACCTGCATTATGTGACTGACAGACGAGAACGCTTTGACCTAAAAATATCAAAATTGAA